AAAGACCGGTCACACAACGGTCAAACGTAAAATATTCAACACCACTTTTGGTTCTCGTCGCCTTTAGCTGTACCACGAGTTTGAATAGAATGTCACAAGAATTACAACGACAAACAAAAATACGAAGCGAAAACTATTTTGGATAGTAAATGTTGAATTTGCTGTGCGTTTTTGGCGTAGAGAGCTTGGGTGCTTTCCATTATGCCAGAAAAGGAAAGTGGAAGGACATTTTCCGATCAGACCGGGCCAACCAAGAGAAATGGCTCTTACTATTTGGTTTTCCTTTTCCGAATTCTTTACATAAGTGAAGAGAAGTGGGGCAATGAACCGGTTGGTCAAAATGGAACGGCAAATTTCGGTCGGAACCGAAACGGACCTTTCCATTTGACTTCGGACCGAAATTTCCGGAATCTTTGGCACAATGGAAAGCACCCTTTAAGTGTCCTAATTTTTGCCTTGAAGTTAGCCGTTGTCTTTGGCAGCGCATAGCTAGTTGCGTGCACACTTGTACTGAATTTGGGACAAATCAAAATATAAGAACATTATCCTGAACGGTGAAAGAAAAATTCTGCTGTGCGGATTTAAGGCTTTAATTAGAATCTATCCTCTACGGCGTTACTTTTACCCTGAAAAACAAACTTCCCGTGTTTGTGAGATAATCTAGAATCGGGTTCGTATAGTGTATATCAGATGTTTGATGCGAGTTAGTTGAAAAATAAACTGCCTATTTCAGAAGCAGTTGCTATGTTTACAGAGTGCTTTACAAGGTCTTTAAACGGTGATTGTCTGTTTTTTCAAGGGCGAGAGAAAGAGGAAGAAAAAGAAGAAAAAGAAAGCTAGACATTGGTGGGATACCTTGTCGGTAAGAACAGTTTTTAAGAACCGTTTTAAAACTGGTAATTCTTGAAGTAAATAATCCCGCGAAATCTTTCTTGCACGCGCTTGTGTCCAAGGTAACAGTCTGCCGTCTGTGACGTCCCAAATTGCCATGGTTGCGTGGTATCTTTGAAAATCTTTGCGCGTGAAGCCGTTTGGAAGCTGAAGTAACGGCAATGTTTCGTCCGAATTTTCTCACAAATGCTGAAAGCGGTGCGGTGTGGTAGCAAAAAAGGGAGTCGACAGGATCTCGAAGCAACGTTTCAGCATCGTTGCGAAAAGTTTAACCCAGTTTTTCTTAGTGCAATCCTTACTGCCGCAGAATATGTTGCGAGACATTTGGTGAACTACAAAATGTATTGTGAAACCTATGTCGCAACAAAATTTGGACACGGGTTTTGTGGAATTATATCTTCCGTGGGGTAACATTCCTTGATGCTACATGTAACATTGTCTAACTTCAAAAATATTTGTTTTGTTTGCTTTCATTTTTTTCATAGAAACCGCCTGCTGCTTCGGAAACTAGTGACAGTACAACAGCGGATGATGATGAAGCTAATAAGGAGGTAAGGGTTAAAATGCGAATTATTAATATTTGAAATTTATATACCCACGCAAACTTCATTTAAATGATCAAATGCACTCTCCAAAGTATCATTAAAAACTACAAAAAAAA